CGCGGTAGGGGAGGAGTGCCGGGGGAGGGGCTGGGAGGCGGTGCCGAATAGTGACCAGGGCACAGGTGAAACGGGATACAATCCAAAGCCTTCGTTCTATAGTATTGTTGATCCCTTTGAATCATGATTTTTTTCGATTATAAAAATTCCACTGATGTGAAGCTGCACACAATGAAGACGCTCTTGCATTGGGAATTTGCCGCTTCGGGTTATTGTTTATTCGGCGTATTCCTCGTTTCACCCCCCCCCCCCCCCGCTGTTCGCCTGACCATGTCTTGGTGTTCCGAACGTTACACCACCGTCCGTCGAATGTACCTAGAGATCTTGGGTCATATCACTAGACCAGGGTCTAGTGATATGACCCTGCTGCTCCATCCCCCATAAGACGGTCGCTGAGATCTCCGCGATACCTCTGATGTGATATTTGGCCGTCCGGCCGCTCGCCATGTGTGTGGCTTGTTTACTCCACGAGTTTCCTTTTGTTGTTGTTTTCGTAGAGGTCCTTTTTTATTTGCTAGTGATAATGGTTGAAGAGATGCGATGTTTGTTGAATAGAGTACAGGCAGTTGACTTGTGCCCACAGAAATGCTATTTTATTGCGGTTGTCAATCATGACATGCCAAATATACGTAAATATTTGGGAAACGTGTTCGTAGTTGCGTGCTCCTTGAACTGTATGAAAGATGCGATGATTTGACCGTCTGAAGCCGAGACGCGAAATCCTTGTGCATTAGGTAGAACACATTATTTATTGCTGGCGACTTTGACTCGAAGCGTGGTGTTAGTAATTTCAGATAGTAACTTCAAACGAAGAACTGCTTGGAAAGGCATTTGCCTATAGACAAGACAAAGAATAGTATCATCTTATGTGCAACATGCACAAGCGTTTGTGTTTACTGACGAAAATCGGACGGACGGTTTTGCATCGGTCTGTTCTATGAAAGCTTATGAACATGGTAGAGCCATCGGTCCAGAGTGGTCTGGTCGCGTTTTTTTTTTTTTTTTAATCACCATGCTGCCAGCCTGCTGGCGTCTCTCGTCTTCTCAGCGGTGAAACTCATGTGATGCATGGGGTTGAGTAATGACAGGCCGGGAAACGCCAACACGTGTATGGGAAAGCCAGTAAGAAAGCCGGCCTATGATTCTCTGCGTTGAGCTAGGATGGCAATCCCGAACGCCATCTACTATTCCGATTGGGTGGTGCGACGGGTGCGACATCTGTCGTAATTATAGGCTACCATCTATAAATGATCGCTACAACTCAAGTCTCAAATCAAATCAGTGCTTTCGAAATCAGCTGTCGGTTTTTCCTATCCGATAGGTTATTTTGCCTTGTGAAGAAGTGGATGCAAGTTTTTCGTGCCGCAGAGACCTTGTAAGAAGTACAATAAAGCATTTACCTAAAATGTAGCTCAAATGTAACTTGTGTCTGCAGTTTATTACAGAGCATCGTACATTTCCTGCGCAGCTGCGGCATTACAGAGCAATGGAGAAAGTAAACAAACAAGCGCTCACTTCCCTGTAAATTTTGCAGGCGGATAGGTAATATTACAATTAATTTCAACATTTAACGTGAAAAAATCGTACTACCTAAAGGTTGATCCCCTTAAAAAGTTCGAAGCTGTATTGTTTAATTAAACTAACAAGGTCATGGTCGTTACTTTCTAAACTAGTCAACGGCCACTGGCCAGCACCCGTTTCAGTTTCATTGCTTGCAGCCATCAGGTGACTCTACTGTGGTATGTTCTTTCCTGAGGCCCATTTTGATTTGAGCTCTTTGTTTGAGCATATCTCCCATATTAACTTAAAGTGATGTACTTTGAAACAATATTACGAAACATGAAGGTCCCCTAGCGACCTGATGCTGATGCTTAATAAGATTCCTCAAGACCTGATGAATAGGACCAGGGCTGTGGAGTCGATGAATTTTCTGTGACTCCAGCTTCCCAAAACCAACTGACTCTGATTTCAGGCAGAACTGTCAACTCTGAACAACTCCAAACTCCACAGACCTGACCAAGCTGCGGAGTGTGGAGTCGATGGGTTTTTGGTAACTCTGATCCCCCCGGCTCTGACTTTCAAAGAGTAAAGACCAGAATTGACTCCAACTCCAACTCTGGTCAGAACTGTTAATGTTGACTCTGGTCAACTCTGACTTCGACTCTGCAGCCCTGAATACCTAGGTACCTAGTACCATAGGTACACATGCAATTTTACCTCTTGGCAAATTTAGTGACCACTTCTTTGACCTGAGGTCAACACTAGGTTGACCTTTCCTTAACAAAAGAGTATAGCATTCAACATGCATGAGCATAACAAGCATGATGTTGCCAAATTTGTGGCTCAGCAATTCCATTTTTGGTGAAGCTTTTCACCAAGAACTGAATCTTTATATTTGTGCCTTTGACCTGACCTCAATAGGGGACAAACTGGGCCAAGACCTTAAAAGAGGCTACCAGTTAATGTGTCTTGTAGCTTTTTTTATTTGTAAAGTAAGTCTGAGCCTTTTGAATGGAAGGATTCACGATGACAGAACCCTCTCTAAGCAGAGTTTGTTCATTGTTGTGTCAGCCATGCCCCCTACCTTCCGATCACGCGATTCCTAGTCTACGACAGAATTTAGAGCCTGAAGTGAAGCTTAGGGGAGAGAGGGGCCAGTTGAAACACGGGGTCAGATGAAACATGGCTTTATTTTCAACAGTATGCAACATATGGCGTTGCCGACACCACTGCGCATCCGCGCTCGACCACTTCCTTTGTCAACGGCGTTTGGGCGACAAACGGACGGTAATTTTGATTTGACACTTGTTTTTGTGTTTATAGGGGCGTTTGGGAGAAATCGTTCTTATGAATATTTTATGATATCTCATATACCTTTGTTTGCTGAAAGAAGAACTCCTGGCTCCGGAATAACACCTTATTTGGCCCTTCATTCAGCATGATGCCGTCCCTCCAGCTCGTTTGACATGTGCTTTACGGCGCGTGCGAGATGGCGGGAGCGGATGGGGTCAATTGAAACGCTTCTCTGAGGGTCAGTTGAAACAGGCCACAGGCCGTTTCAATGGACCCCGGTGACCTTTGCAATAGTTATTCTTCAGGGGCTGTAAACATTAAAGGAAATAGTCCACCTTTGAAATGAGCTTTTAAACTGAAATAGTAGTTTAATAGAGCTCAATTTTTGACCCCTTTTTCTCCAGCCTTTTGCTTGAAGGCACACTATAGCCTGAGATATTTCTCATTTTTCTCATCCGCCCATTTTACCATAGTCTATGTACTTTATGTCACCTATTATGAGGAACTTTGCACTTTTAGCTTTCCAACAACCTATTGAATGTAGCATTTGGAAAAGTAAACCGGACAAAATATATCCTTAAGAAAGTGGCCTTAAAGGGACTATCCCACCTTCTAAAATGTTGTTAAAACCAGTTAAATTGTGCCCGACTTTATAGATTGGATGACCAGGAACACGGTTCTGGCATTTATTTTTCATTAAACATCTTAGGCTTCCCATATTCCAAACACAAACTTTCAAATATGTGACGTCACAGCCCAAAATTACCTCCTTCCCCAGGCCACATTACTGTCATAAAGCTGATTCTTTTTACTCTGTAGGCACCACAACAAAGTTCAGACCAAGTTTTAAGCGATTTTTCAACGAACAAACCCATTTAAATCAGAATGACTAAACGAGGTGACGTCACACTAACGGTCGCTCCATGTTGAAGATAGGGCCTTGTACAATGCCCATTTTCAAATGAAAGGAACGAATTTCTTCAACACCAAGAGGCCGCGGGGGTTGCAACCTTGATAGATAGTGGTTTATGAACCTCGCCGCAAACTTGGCTATCTCAACTCAAACCCCATGTTAAAGGTGGGATAGTCCCTTTAAAGAGGAAAACATCCCATTGTTAAGGATAGGTGCAATTGACCCCATGGGCTGGTTCAATTGACCCTCGCATCGGGGTCATTTGAAACGGGCGTAGAGCTGTTTTATAAGCATGCGTTTGGCAGCAAAATATGTTTGAAACATAATTTTACGTAACTTAAAATAAAGCCAAAAGAGCATATTTTTTCATGGCATTGTGCATTTTTCGATATGACAACTAGATCTCGCTGTGCATGTCAATATATAAAAAGTGGTTCAACTGGCCCCGCTCTCCCCTACGCACAAAGCTGTGCACACCGCACGGCTGGTCCCCCCACTGGCCTCGGCTGGCTACGGCCTGCCACCAACAGCAACCCATACCCGTCATAAAGCTTCTAAACATCGAGCGCCCGTCGTGCCTCGAGCCTTGGACTTTTGCAGCCGGGATGTGTGCTATCACTACATGACGTCCAACGCGCTACTGACTGAGCTACGGGACCGGCACGACCGCAACTTAACACTGGGTAACGGTGCACACGTTCGGTTTTTCCGCGAAGTTTTAGCTTAATCAGGGGCGAAACGGTGGGGGAGGGGGCACCACCAGGTCTCCCTCCCTCGGCCGAGGCCTTTGAAGAAAACGTATAGATTCGGCCAGAGTAAGGGACCTGGTGACCCGACCTTAGCGTCCAGTCCGCTAATTTCCAAAACGAGCGTGGAAATATGATGTGGTGTGTCAAAAATAGCGAACACATCTAACCATCTTTTTGTAATAGATATTTGCTCCGTATAAGCCCCCCCCCCCCCTCAGCAGGGCGCGGGTTAGCCTTGTGCCGTCACTAATCTGGAACACATATCGACACAGCGGAGTGGCCTCAACGGCGCTATCTGCACTGCCGAGGTGGCGCCACGGGGATTAAAGGAGACAGCGATAGCCGTCAAGAGGCTCTCGGTGTCACACCACGCCGAGCGTCTGCCCTGCCCTGCGCGCCCGGGAGACGCCCGTCACCGCCCTCACACACGTTAGCCCGGTCCAATCTGCCGACCCTCGTGGCAGGGCAGACGGGTCGTCGGAAGCGTTGCTATCAAGATGGGCCCGATACGCCGCGTCGATCGCCTCTCAGCGACAGAACTACGAGCACAGCGGTGGACCGAGTCAGACCGACAGGGTGCCATTTAGAGGTCGTGGTTGGGAGTGGGCGGAAGGCTCGTGGAGGGGTATGGTGCCAAGTGACCTCCCCCGGACCGGCCCTGGGCTCGCCTCTGACACACAGCAGCAGTCGGAGATTATTATTGGTCATCTGTGAGGACGGGGCGCGCGGCGCCGGTTCGTGTTACAGACAATTGGGCAGTGGGTGGTCTGCGGTGAAAGTGGTGGTTTGCGGTGCGGTGCTGGCTGAACTGTTCAGGCTACGACAGGTCAGATATAAGGTATATGCCATATGCTATTTTCTGCGCATGCAGATACCTAAAAAGCAACCTAAAAACCTAGAAACTATTTTGCGTTGTCCATTTTCTTTCAATGTGTGGTTTCTTTCAAGGTTCTAAGTTTCTTTCAATGCTCCCTGTCTGTTCACCGCCATCCAATTTTCGTAAATACTGAGGACAGCGCCACCCACGACTGTTAGGATTCCCGCGAACTAGCCGTGTTTAGTTTTGGTGACCGCAGCATTCTATCCCCAGGCCCGTCTCGTCCCTCGTCGCCGCGGGTGGCCGGCGGGACGCGGTGACCGCCCGGCAGGCCCGCTATGGATGTCAGACGGCGAGCGGGTGCCTCTGGCCAGCCAGACACCCACTCGAGGTCAGAGGGGGCGGCTGACGGCCGACTGAGACCGACAGCAGAGTCCTGTGAGACGCAGAACGTCGGAGATGGTGTCATGACCGACGGGAGGACGGACAAATGCAGTGACGGTGTGGGTGAGAGTGAAGTCATGTGTGGTGCGAGAAGTGGAAACGCCGGTAATGTCGACGAATCGACTGCAGCACGGTCGGAAAACTCACCCAACGGCGGGACTGGTGGTGCAGCAGACAGCCCAAATCAAACCAGCCGCTCGGCTCAGTCTGACACCCACCGGGGCCCGTTCGTGGCCGCGCTGGACGTGGGCACCACATCCGTACGCTGTGTGGTGCTGGACCGGCGGCTGGAGGTGCGAGGCGTGTGTCGGCGGCCCGTCCAGCTGCTCTACCCCGTACCGGAACACGTGGAGATCGACCCCGATCAGCTGTTTGAGGCGGTCTGCGAGGTCATCAAGGGCGCTGTCGCTGACGCGGGCCTCACACTGCAGCAGGTGGGTTGTGTGAGCTGTGTGTGATATCGCCGTAGTTTACAGCTATCTTTGCTGGATTGTTTCTGCACTGCCCTAGAAATGTACGTTGATGTTGCGGATGTGCATAGGTGACTTTCTAAGTTGTTTCAAGCTTTTATCGAGCATCCCTGTCTATTTTTATGTCCTTTGCTATATCTTGCCCCGAGACCTGAAAAAAAGAAACTGAAATACAACGCGTCCACTTTTAATGCTGACATTATGATGATTCGTGCATCCACTCAGATTGACATTTTCTGTGTATCTCGTCCTTCCCCCACCCTACCAGTTACCACTCACTTTTTTCGCTCCTGTCATTCGCCTATTATCTTGCAATCATCGTCCAGTGAACCGGCCTTCACCCACCCCCTCCCCCCGCCTGACCAGCTGACCTGACTGACCTCCCCGACCCCCTGGCAGGTCACCACCCTCGGGATCAGCACCCAGCGGTCGTCCTTTACCACCTGGAGCCGGGACACGGGCCGCTGCTACCACAACGTGGTCTGCTGGAGCGACCGGCGAGCCAGCGGCCTTGTCAAGGCGTGGAACGCGTGAGTGTATGCTGGATGATAGGAGAGAGGGACGGCTGGGGTGCAGGGCGGGGCTGGGGAGCTAGTGTGTGGGTTGAGTGCCCACTGTCCACCTTGCCCACCTATGCAACACGGGACGTGGGCACTAGTGTAGTGACGATATATATGTACACCCGTGTAACTAGATGACGCCTGTGGAGATATCTCATGGTTTTGCCAATTATGTGTTCGTAATCGTTGTGCTTTGTTTCTGTACTTTTTGTCTTTTGGAAATGCATTGCTCTTGGTTTTTGTTGCGCAATAGACAATGATGCATTTACTAGTGTGAACCAAAAGCGAAGTAAGTTATCACTTATCGCTCACTTAGTCTAATTCTATATCGATGGTGCTCGATCATTTTTTTTTTTTTTGCAACCAACAGTTTGCCTTCGGCTTTAATTTTCATTGGTCTCTTTGACCCTTCACTACCTGTTTGCCCGCGCGGTCCCCCTGAGTTGTATACCTGGCGTTTGTACAGTTTGACTGACCTCTGATCCCCTGTGCTCTTCATTGAACAGCTCTCTGATGTTCCGCGTCCCGGCTCACGTCTGCTGGCTGCTCCACAAGGTCACCGGCAACCCGCGCTTCCAGGCAGTCAGCGTGCTCCGGCTGATGAACGCTCAGGTAAGAAACTATTTATGCATTATGTTTGATGAACAGTCAGTCAAGATGCTCTTATTTTGTTCTGACAAGACCGCAGGTAAGCGAGTGTTGCCAGGATGCCGCACTTCGGCGCTGATATGGTAGCTTGGTAGATTGAGTAGCATGGAGCTTATTAGAGGACTTTTTGCTTGGAAGCTATTCAGAGTATGAAGCAGAGTATCCAGTTGTAGTTTGCAGGGTACCATGCTTAGCTTTGGCTAGCTATGGCGCATGCTGCTTCATTTTAGGCTGCTCAATATTCTCTCGCTCCTAAAACCTGAACATTTCACACAACTTTGAATCACAGTTATCGAGATTAGTGAATCAAACGAAATCGGTCAACCTTCTGACCAGTCGCTGGCTGCAATAGACGTCTTCCCGGGCTGACTCACGCCGCCCGCGCCATCCCTCAGGTAACTATGCGTCTGCTGTGGTGTATGCAGAACATACCCGCCCTGCGCGAGGACATTGGCCGCGGTCGGGCGCTGTTCGGCACACTGGAGACATTCCTCCTCTACCGTCTAACGGCTGGTAGACTACACGTCTCAGACCGCACTAACGCAGCGGCCACCGGCTTCTTTGACCCGTACCTGATGCAGTGGTCCGGCTATCCACGCTTCCTCTTCGGCGTCGCCCCACCGAGTATGTTACCCGAGGTGGTTTCGACGACGTACGACTTTGGCAGCACGGCGCCAGAGGTGCTGGGCACCCCGCTGAAGATCGGCTGTGTAATCGGAGACCAGAGCGCCAGTCTGTTCGGCGCAGAGTGCTGGCAGCGCGGGGACGTGGCGGTTACGCTCGGCACCGGATCGTTCATGGATGTCAACACGGGCGAGCGGCCACACACGTCCGTTCGCGGCTTCTACCCGGCGGTGGCCTGGGAGCTGGGCGAGGAGGTGGTGTTTATGGCCGAGGGAGCCGCCGGGGACACAGCGGCCAGCGTGCTCTGGGGCCGGAGGATCGGCCTGTATGACGCCGTGGAGGACACGGCCGCGCTGGCAGAGTCCGTCCCTGACGCCGGCGGCGTGCGCTTCGTGCCGGCCTTCTCCGGAATAGCGGCGCCGGTGAACGACTTCAAGGCGGCGGCTGGGTTCATCGGGATCTCTGCCGAGAGCTCCCGGGCGCACCTGACGCGAGCTATTCTCCAGGCGATTGCGTTCCGTCTCCGCCAGCTGTACGACAGTATGCGCGCCGAGTGCGCCTTTCCTCTGCGCCACATTCGCGTGTCGGGCGGCGTGGCCCGCAACGACGCGCTCTGTCAGATGGCCGCTGACGTGCTGGGGGTGCGGCTCGAGCGGCCCCGCGATGTGGAGACCTCTGTGCGCGGGGCGGCTATGCTGGCAGGGCTGGCGGCCGGCGTGTGGCGCGACCGGAGCGAGCTGGAGCCTCTGCGGCAGACGGACCGGGTGTTCGAGCCGGACCCGAGCCGCGGCGCGGCGCTGCGGGCCGAGATGGCAGAGTGGGAGAGGGCGCTGCAGAGGTTCGGAGAGTGGTACCCGGACGACGTCAAATGAGGGGGAGAGGGGGTTCGTCAGAGGTCAGTGAGGGTCCGGCTGACTGGAGTGGGTGTGTGGTTGAGGGTATTAGGGACCAATGAGGGCTGTCATTTCAAGGCAGCTTCGGGGCTTAGTAGATATTTATCACAGCACTTAGCTGATGCGTAATGATGAGCGGCATTGGTGGTGTTTGGGCTCAGCTTAGCTTATTTGAAGATTTATGTGTGGAAGGAACGGTTGTTGGGGGGGGGGGGGGGGGGGGCTAGGGGGTCTGTGCGTTAGAGAGAAAGGTCTTGTAAAAGGGCTTAACAGATCCTCAGAAGCTTACGTGGCGTAACTGCACAATGCGTATGGGTAAGGAGCCAGGGTAATTCACGCCGGTACGATTTCTTGCCTTGTGTTCTGGGCGTTTTGCCTACAGCAGGAACTCGGGTATTAGTGGGTAGGTGTTTATTAACCGATTAGCAGTCATAATATTTCTGATCTGCATAGCAGCGATTATTCATAATCGTGCGTTGCCAGTCAGAAAATGCATAAAATAGAGCTATTTTCGTACCTGGCTGACCGATGCTCGTTTGTTCAATAGCGCAAATGTATGCATAATGGATGCATATTTATCAGATTTTGCAGAATATGCAGATAACTATAGGAGGTTATAGAAGTTTGTTTCCATCTTATCGTTTTTCCCCGATGTGTTATGCCCGGACTGTGCTCGGAAAGACTTCACTAGCTCGTTATTAGGCTTGTCATCATGGTGGCTGATATTTTTACATAACTTATGTGCAGACTAATGTGACGAGTCTGTTAGTTTATGCGTGCAGGGAGAGGTAGCTCGACAAAGGTTATTCGATCCCAGGTAATTATTTATTGAAAATATATCGATGGGTGATAAGGAATATTAAATACGGTGTGCACTGTGCGTTATGCACTATTTGTATAAGTAGCAGCTATTAAATTAGCTTGGATGGTTGCCGATGTTTTCCTACTCCTGCTATCAAATCATGCTTCCTGGCTCGTCTTTCTTACTTACTCGTATTTTCACATCTAACCAGATGCCTAGTCCATGTCGGAGCTCAGGTGAATGCATGTAACATGAATCAAAGGCAATGTGCCTTGGCGGAAGTACAAACGAAAGCAATCAACATAATACGCAGTGATATTTATAGATGATCATAATTTGCATTGGATTGTTCGTTACGGTTGCATCAAAATATGTGGATTCTTGCTTTGCGTCTGGTTTGATCGATTCCCGAACGATATGTTTCGTCTCGCCTCATGCTTCTCGTATCGCGTAGGATTTTCTGCCGTGTGAGATCTTGTCGCAGTGATATTTACTCGCGTGTTGGCAATGATACTCCTTGAATCCAATGTCTGTCGTGCTCAACTGCTTTTCGATGTCGGTGCAATAAAATGCAGCTTCGATACTTCTTTTCTCTTTTTTCCATCATTAATGTGTGCTATATAATAGGACGGCGTGTCTGTGACTTTTGAAATAACTGCGGATAATGTACCACTTTTTATCTAGTCTGTAGTCGTCGACTACTGTCTCCTGAAGTGCTTGCGATGCGTTGATTGCAGAGCGATTTTGTGCTTGAGTTGCTTTAGCTTTGCTAGGTGGCATGGCGCTCGCACTAGCTATAAATAATGTTGGAATATTTTCCACGTTTGGTGAGAATGCCGTCATATAGCATAATCTGCATGCGACAAACTCGCAATGTAATCCGAGAGAAATCCTATTATTTTGGCCTAAAACCAACTGGCCATAATTCACCGTGTCCGGTAAATCCGATAATCTGGCAGCTCGACTGTTGGCCCTGTCCTGCAGCGTTGTTCCGCTCGCCCTGTCCTATCCTGTTGTTCTCACTCAGCCGCTGTTTCCTCGACGCGTCCTACCAGGATGTTGTTGCGAAGAGAAAGAGGTGTGACACAGACTGACGTTTGCACCGTGTCTGTGCACAAAGACCTGTGCACAATGCACGCGGAGGTTCGGCTGAGTCATTGGAGGGCACCTTGGGTCACCTGAGGTGCGGGCGCCACGGGATCGAGATGACGGAAGGAAGATTTCGCGGTAGTGTTATTACGGAGAGGAGCTGAGTTGGATGAGGGATGAGATGCTTTTAATAGCGGATTTTCCGATCCGTTTGTCTACTGCTATCGATGACTGTGCGTAACGCACCCACCGTTGTAAATGCACACTTCTGATGATATGGAGAGAAGACCTTAGTGCTGCAGTTAGTGCTGCATTTCATGCATCCCAGTCTACCGGCCACGCTGAGTAAAATGCAAAGCCTGGCCATAACAAGTGATTAGTGGCCCTTAGCGCGGGAGGACTAAAAGGCGATGTTGCATGCGTGCTAAATGAGCAAAAACGAACCATTCGCTGTGCTTGTTTACATCCTAATCTTACGCTCGTTACTGACGAGTGTGAGCCATCCACTGACTTCTCAGCTGAAAGACGCTCATAAGGCATTATGTGATTTTTTCACACTAGAAAGGTTAATTATCCGATCCGGAGAGCTGTGTCGTTAAGGTATATGGCATACCAAACCCCTCAATAAGAGCGTACAGTTCGGCACCCATTGGCATTCGGACTCCGAAGGCCGTTTTGTTGTTCATTGCCGAACAGCCTGTTTTGTGAGGAGGATGATGGACTCCGCCTACCGTCCGAAATAATCGGGTTATTGCCGGGATTCTCGACGTGGCTGCCCAGTTTAAGCTGCTTTGTACCGAGTGTCTGGCTAGTTACTAGAGTGATTGGCAGCCGAACAGCGATGCCAGAACGCTGCTCGGTGGTATTTCTCTCAATCATAGGCACTACTCTACCAGCTCTCCATTGCTTCGTCATAAGTGTTCGTGTCTCACTTAAAACTAGCAGTGAGTGTACTACGTGTGCGGTGCTCAGGATGTTAACAAACATTGAGCTGACTCAATGGTAAACGTTTAATGTTAATTTGAGAACGTTGTTCGTCTTTAATGAAATAGCATAACGCTGCTGGCTCGCCTTTATTTCAACAAACTTGTGTGTAATTTTAATTAGAAAATGTGTCGCCCGGGTGTCGGGAGGCAGAACAAGCCAAGTTGTTGCCCGTTGGAGGCGGTAGATGCTGACACTGGCGATAGATGCTTCGAATTTCTGACAATTTTTGACGAGCTAATCTGTACTGCAATTATAAATACCAACCGTCAGCCGACCAGTGATTTCGTTGACTGAAGAGTTCAGTTCTTGGTTTGAAATTAGCACAGGTTCTTATCCTTCTAGGTAGGGGAATGTGGGGTAAGACGGCCCAGCGGGGCAAGACGGACCACCAGCCCTCCCGGCTGAACCGCTGCTGGTATCTACTGCTTTATGCACTCACTTTGTTTGCTTTCCTTCGTAACAATGGCCACCTTGAGCTCATGCTGCTAGGATGCATAGCTTTTGAGTTATGGAGAAAAATGTTGTTTTTCGTCAAACCGATCTAATATAAGAGGTCTACGGGTGATTCAATTACGGCGCCTTTCTTGCATGATTAGTTTCTATTTTGCACTTAAAGGGACCCTCCCACCTTCAAAAAAGTTAATGAATTGGCACGAAAGTGATGTCGCTCGGTTCAGAAAGAGCGAAAACGAATATCTACCAAATTTCATCGAAAAATATTCACCGGTTTTCAAGATATTGGACTTTTACTTTTGTTTACTTTTTGGGATCTCCGCTGTTCCTAGCGACTTTATTTGAAAGTGCGGCATTTGTTGCGCGCAAAGCAGCATATACCACCGCGTGCTACCAAACGTTTTAGTAAAAGATTTAAAAATCGTTAGATCTCCGCTGACGTCACAAATTCTAAGGGGGCATACCAATGCACTAGCCCCTTAGAATCCGAAAACTGCAAGTTTGAAATTCCATATCTCCGAATTAAAGCATTTGTCGATGTTGTGAGTGCCCAAACCGGTATTTGCAGGCCATGCCACCAATTTGGCTATCTCAACTCAAAACTAATGTTAAGGTGGGAGTGTCCCTTTAACTGTGAAGAACAAAGTTATAAACTTAGTTATAGTCACACTTTAGGAAAGGCAAGGTTTTGCAATGTTGGGCTATTTGACATACACGTCATGATAATGACAGAATTTAGATTTGGGGCAAGACGGACCACTGTGGTCCATCTTACCCTGTGGTGGTCCATTGTACCCTGCATATGGAAAGTTCTTTTCCAAAACATTGACACAAGTTTAAGTAAGCTAATTTTTCAGGAAGGAGTCTTTGTTGCATGTGAGCCATGCATGCAAGTGCTCAGTTAGCATGCATTCATGCCAAACGACAATCAACACACATGTTCCCAGCTTTTAGCTGCACTTCCATCACACACTTGAGTAAAGAATAAAGGCTCATTTTGTTATTCTACCATTCTTGTTACTTTTTCTTACAAGAATACAGAGCAGAAGTGTAACACACATGAACGGATAGCAGGCACTGCTGGGTGGTCCGTCTTACCCCACGTTTTTTCTTGTCTGAGTTTTTGACATGCCCCTCTTTAAGAGCATCCATCACTTAGATGTCTTTAATTTGAAATTTAGTCTTAACACATATCAACAGAGGAAGGATTGAGCATTCCGAAGACTATAGATAATATGAATTACGAGAGCAGTGTAGCAAGATATGCGGCCTCAAACCTTAGCTGGTCCGTCTTACCCCACCTTCCCCTATGTAGTTATTTCATATAAAAAACTAAATGATCAAAGTGAATTCTAGTTCTTCCAAAGGCTCAGCAGACTCCGTTCTCTACCAAACACTCGCTCGTCTGTTTTCGAAGCCATCCGGCAACAACACTCCCCACCTTCCTGCATTTCTCAGCGGTACGTGCATTGTGTATTCCATTGGCAAACGAGTCGGCGTCCCACCCCCTCAGCTTTCAGTGGCGGCACTGAGTCATCTGTTTAGCATAGGTCGTCGGGAGGGCCACCGGGGCAGCAGAGGTCACCTGGGGTCACCGCGGGACAACTGGGGGTCTCTCAGCAGCGACCGGCGCGGTGCTGTGTGCGGTCCTAGCTCAAAGGTGCCGCTCGCATATGCCCGGGGCGTTGCCGTGCCTCATTTTGCCGTCGGTGCGCGGCTGCCAGCCCGGCATACCAAGTGGCGGGGTGCCACCGCGCGATGCTTTTACCGGTCACCCACGCGCGGTGACAACAGGATATGGCTCGTCCGCGCCGCTGGGAACATCTGCTCTGGGCTGGGAAAATTGAAAAAAAAAACTTTGTTGGTCAGAGCTACACTGACTGAATGATTGCTTTGAAACTTTCACCGATTGAAAAGGGTGAAAAGACGTACAATTTTTTGTCCGGGAAAAAGTTTGTATCGATGGCCTAAGGTCAGATTAATTTGTAGGTAATCTGAACTCCAGCTTACACAGGTCAGTAGAAATGCAATGCATGCATAGTGACATGGACGACCCGACCACATATCACGAAAGCAATTACGGGACTGTTTTCTTCATCGACCGATCCCAATCCGTTCGCACGCTTCGTTACTAAATCACGTGTGCGTTGGTGGATCGACCTGACTGACGGACACGAACTATCCAGGGACTTCTTACAAGTCGCGAGAAACCGATTATCGACGGCAATAAACTTATCGTTCGTTGCTCGAAGCTTCGACAAAAAGCCGCCACCCGAGTCAGTATACCTACCTAGGGCAGGTCGGACGAACAAACCTGGCGTGTGAAAAACGCGTACCTACATACAGACTTGAGCAACAGCGTAACTGGTC